TATAAATTCATCAACTGCTGATGTTAATGCTTAAATTTAGCCATCATAACCTATCAATAAACAATGCCTTCCATGTACTTAGTATACACGTTTGGGCTCTAGGCTCTAAGTCTCTAATCTAGAGCCTATGTTTGTTTAATGGAACTTTAAAAGCTGAATTACACTTCACTGTTTAAATTTGTAACTGTAAGGCATAATTTCTCTCATAAATCCTTTACTAAATACTTATTAGCTATGTTCATTGAGCAAATATTTATTTTGAATATCTGCTCTGTGCCATCTATATTGAATACTGCAGTGAGCAAAACTGACCAAAAACCTCCCAAAGGCTAGGCTTGTGTGCCTGTCTACAATACCACACTTGGACCTCTACCAATTCAGTGACCTTCTGTGCTGGGTAGGCTGACGATGGCCCCCAAAATTATGTCCAAATTCTAATCCAGGTAATCTGGGAATGCTATTTCATATGGAGAAAGATTTTTACACATATGACTAATGTTAAAGATCTCAAGATGGAAAAATTCCAATTATCCAATGTTACCTAAATAGAATCACAGACATCCTTAGAAGAACACAGTAAGTGACTTCTTAATACTGACACAAAAATTGTATTTCAAAATCAGTTTGTATTTTGCCCTAAAGATAAAATCAGGAAGCTGGCCAAACAATGCCATCCAAATTGCACTCCTGGCATAAGAAGGGAGTATTTTGAATTCCTAAATATTTTTTCCCTAATAGTCAATTAGACACAAGTCTATAAAAAACTGTAAATGTGACTGGAACTCTGCTGCTAGGATGAATTTATTCCAAACTCATGTTTATTATAAAAAATTATTTATGACAAGTGCTCCCTCAAAATAAATTTCATGACCACTCAAGCAACCAAAATAACAAAGGAATAAAAACTCCATAAACAATATCACAGATTTTGTTTGCTTTATGTTTTTTTAATTATAAATGCCTAAATGTACAATATTAAGAGTGGAAAAAGACTTTTTAAATAGAGACTTTTTTCTGAGCAAACAAATGTCTCCAGAAAAGATAATTATTCAAATCTAGTGTTCAATTGGTTAAAAATAAAATATTAGGGATTGACCAGAAGAAAATCAATAAATATTTATAAATTCATTAAAATTAATTAGTTTCTTTTTCTCAAGACCAAGCTAGGCAACTTTGAAGATAAATTTTATTTTATTTTCTTTAAATGTTACTTCTACTAGGAATACAGAGGTATATGTCAATGGTCATAAGTAGGTTACAACTTGAACCTTAGGATTTGAAACTTGAACAGATTTTTGTTTGCATCTTTCTTTTAAATTTGAGATTTATATGTTTGTCTCTTTGAGACTAGCTTGCTAGTTTTAGAAACAAGTTCATGTCTTTCAAAGATATTCAAGTAACTATAGGTTTTTTTTGTTGTTGTTGGTGGTGGTACTGGGGTTTGAACTCAAGGCCTCATGCTTGCTAGACAGGCACTCTACCACTTGTGCCACTCCATCAGCCCTCTAACCAAAGGCTCTTAAGAACAAAATTTTGAAATTCAAACTCACAGATTAAAAAGAGTAAAAATATTATCAAATTAATTTACTTCATGTCAAGAATATAGATATACAGTACTATTATTAAGTTTTTAAAATATAAATAATAAATGCGACCTTTCCCATCTAAAGAAGAAAAAAAATTATATTACTTTTTTTAAGTAAAGTAGAACTATAAATAAAATTTTGAGATATAAAAGTCTGTGTGTTCATATTGAATCCTACTCCCCCAATACAGGAGGTACTTCCAGGAAGAAAGATGTTAGACTCTTTGAGAATGGTAAGAGTTCTTAAAGACCATGAGATTTTCAGTTAATAAGACAGCAAATAATATGTCCCCTAGCATAAGGAGAAATCTAAACTTTTTCCTCTAAAAAAATTTCATGTGAAAAGAGCAATTATGTAGAATATTTTAAGGTAAAATCGTTCAAAAGAATTGTCACACAGACAACCTCAAATCTTTGAACAACTCTGTAAAAAAAAGAAAGTGAATGAGGCAGCAGTAAGCTCACACACACTGCTCTAAAGCCATTCACCATGCTCTACTACAGGATTCCCGTTCTCAACCTGTCTATGCATTCTCTCTCTCTCTCTCTCTCTCTCTCTCTCCCTCTCTCTCTCTCTCTCTCTTTCTCTCTCTCTTTCTTTCTCTCTCTCTCCCTCCCTTCTCCGTGGTATTGGAGTTTGGACTCAGGACCTTCTATCACTTGAGCCATGCCTACAACTCTGCGTGCCATCTTCACAAGCATTCATTTTCTCACTCTTCTCTAGGATCCACCTTAAAATCTTTATCAATGCAATGCTTTGGAAGCTTGACAGAATACTGGCCTCTGGATTACAACTCAAAAGAACACAAGTTAGAAAAACACATCTGAAAAGAACAGTACAACAACTGAAATACCTAAAATTATCTTATTTTAAAAATGAGAGGTTTATGATGAGTCAAGTTGAAAATATCTTCAGTGACTGTTCAGTCAGGAAGTTAGATAATATGTGTTAAAAGAAGTCTTTCAAAAGTTACTTCACATTATAATTTGTAGGTTTTAGCACATGAACTTGTTTTATTTAGAAGCTTCACATACTCCAAAGTTATTTTATGGTGTTAATTATGTGAAGTGTTGCTACATTTAGACTTTGATGCATCATCTTATTTAATTAATGCTTTGGTAACAAAGTATTTATTGTCTTTATTTTAAAAGATTATATAGAGGAAAACAATTTGGAACTAGACATTCCCTATCTTAATATGAAAACATCTAGAATACATCTGTCTTTTAAGGTAACTCTGATTAAGTAACATAGACTTATCAAATACAGAAAAAAGACTAGTAAAACGGTCACCTAAAAAATGCAAAAGATACTTCATTTGAAATTAATTATGTCAAAGACTCTTAGGTCTTTCAATTCTAATACATATGAAATGTTAAGATTTTCATATGTAGTGCAAAAGACAAAAACTCAAATTTTCATAGAAGTACTGTAATGATTAATCTTGATGACTTGATTGGATTGAGAGATAGCTAAGATAGTAAAGCATACTCTGGGTGTGTCTGTGAGGGCACTACTAGAGAGGATTGACTTATGGGACTGGTCCAGTAACTAAGGGGGAAAGACACACTTTGAATGTGGATGGGCACCATCTGATATGTTGGGAGCCCAGGTCAAATAAAAGGGGAAGAAGCAGGAAGCTTGCTAACATGTACATGCTCTTTCTGGCTCTCTCTGCTTCCTGACTGCCATGAAGTGAGCAAACCTGTTCTCCTACACACTTCCACCACAATATTCTATATTACCACAGCCCAGAAGCAATATAGTCAGCTATAGCCTGAAACCAGAAGCCAAAATACATCTTTCTTCCAAGCCCCGCCACCTCTACTCCAACACACACTCAGGCATTTATCACAGTGACAAAAAAACTGACTAACATAGTGATATTTTATCATCTAGTAAATCATGAACAGATAAAAGTTAGCAAAGTATTACTAATTTGCTTTCCAAATCTACAATTTAGAATTTGATTTTCAGGTAGTAGGATTCAGTTAATTGAGAAATGTGCCTATCTAAAATAAGTATAAATGATCACATCTGCCTTGTAATTAGGTAATTTTCTGCTATTGATTTCATATTTCTGTATCTCAGTTTTTTTACCCACAAAATAAACACAAACATTCAAATGTCCAAGGAATTTGAATCATTTGCTATTAAGAACCCTTCTGTGTATTGATTTTTTTAAAAAAGAATTTAATATATAAAGTGAACAAATGATTCAAAGCTCAACTCAACAAATGTTTGATAAATATCCAGAAAAATGAACAAAGTCTTCAGTTATTTTCACAAAAATAAAGGTGGGTTAAAGATAGTTATCAACTTTAAGGAACTTTTAACCAAACATGAGATGTGAAATTAGATGACCCATCATTATATTAGAGCATGGAAAAGGACAAATGTTACAAAAGAAAAGATAATGCTGATTTAGGAATCCAGAAAAAGAAATTTTTTCTAGCTAAGCATGGTGGTTCACACTTCTCCAGCACTCGGGAGGCTGAGGCAGGAGGACCATGAGTTTGAGACCAGCCTGGGCTGCAGAGTGACACCCTTCCTCAAATAAAAAGAAAACTTTTTTTTTACCTCTTGCTACACTTGGATAGTATCAGTTGTATCTGACATTTATATATTTGAATGTTTATCTCCAATAAATCTGAGTTAATACAAATATCAATCATATATGTATAATAATATCATCCATATTTTAATTTCCTCATGGATCTGGTTCATTTTCTGGTGAAAATCGAAAGCAAACACTTGTAAGTACAATAAGTACACAAAAGTATTAATGAACACAGGTAGCAGAAATTAAATAAGTTAATTGTGCTGTCATGCAGTATTAAATCATTTATAGTAAAGAGCTCATATGGCCAAGATTTTTTTTTACTTATACATTTTTAAAATTCTAATAATCAACTTCCTTTAAATAGTTGTAATAGAAATTTATTCATTTGAGAAAAACGCTAGAGTTTTCTGTTTGACATAGTTCTTGGCTTGTTTTTGGATAAATGTCTATGTCTGATTTCTTGTGGGAAGAAACTTAAAACCTGGAGACCTAGGTTTGTCTCACCATTGAGAACCATCAGTTCATTGACCTTGAGAAAGTAACTGAGATTGTCTCTGAGCTTCTATTGCTTAATAAGAAAATAAGGATAATAATTTGCTTTGTGAAATTTGTAAGAAGATTAATTAAAATAACTTCTAGCACTGTGCTCAATTAAGCTTTCATTTTATTTGAAATAAAGGAATGATGGTAATCTAAACACAGTTTTGAAACAAACTATCATCACGACAGTGTCTCAGTGTATATAAAATGGTACTGATACATGGAAATATTGGTGTAGCAATGGATATGTGTAAAAACTGTGGTATTGACTGTTTTGTAATATTTTTGGCATAAATAAATAGCACTCTTACCTGTTGGTGGAATTATTCCAGGAGACATGAGGCCAGGAACAGAATGTGGCATGATATGAGAGCTCTCTGGGGAGGTGACACTTTGAGTCCTCTTAGGAGGCCTTCCAGGTCTAGAACTGAAACAAACAAACAAAAAATTTTACAATTAAGCTGTTGTCTTACACATCATTTCAAAGTTGTTTCAAGTGGTAACATGGACTGTAAATAAATTTGTTTCAAGGACGGTTGCTTTTGCAGTTAGATGTAATAGACTTCCATCACTAATTAGATTACATGCTGAATTCATTTTCCTCATTGAAGATCAGCCACTCCTGATGCATAATTCATAGCCTGCACCTCGTTACCTGCTTCTTCATATTAATATCTATACACAGTTTGAATTGCCTCGTTTGCATATGCTAAAGTTCTGCATGCAGCCTTCAGCACGAAAATTATGCACTAACTTGTAATAATTATTACAGTCAGCCTGCTATTGATTTATGAGACTTTTAAAAACCAAATATGTGTAGTACTTGTAATGAATGATATTTTAAGGTTCTTCAGGAAATTAAAAGGCAATGGCTGCCTAAGGAAATGTTCTGCTTGTTTGATTTAATACTACAGTTAGCTGGGAGGTGGAATGAAAGAGTGATTCAGACCTATAGCACATTTTTCGATGATATGTTTTATTACTTCGCACTGCTAGCCTGATATCTAGATGATAAATGACAATACATATCTAATGTGTGAAAAGGTCTTGCAATTTCTTTATTTTTTGTCATTTAAAAGATAAGTCAAGTTATCATTTAACCCTTATTCTACTTAAGTGAACAACCCTACTAAGTTGTCTTGCTTTTAATATGCTAAAATAAATCAGAAAGGTTTGGGATTTTTTGTAGAACATCATTGAGAAATTACCTATATTGCATCTTATATCTGCCCTAAGGATAAATAAAAATGTTTTTATGTTTTAGCAGTAATTATGCTTAGCATACCAATGTACAGATTACTTTTTAGAATTGTAAAAGCAGGTGAAGAGGAGATAAGTATTTAGTATTTTTATATGAAAATAACATTTAGGATATAATATTCACATTTTTTAAGCTAACAAGATTCTTAGCAATGTATTTCTACTTTTTACTTCTGTGTTATCAATATACTTTTATGAAATGCTCTTCCAGCATTTTTTTGACCAACATACACCTAGATAAATTCAAAACCATCAGATATATCCTTCATAAATAAGCATTTCCATGTTTCCCTCAACTGAGATCCTTTGTCTCATCAGAAGATTTAAAAATTCTCTCTTTTATTTCATGTAAGTAATATATGTGATCATTGAACAAATAATTACTTTGTATCTGCTGTTTTCAAAGCAGTGCACTATGGAGGTTAATTTGGGAAAATGAGTTCTTAGTCTTCAGGAGCTTATACTCTTGCCAAGGGGGAAGAATCTGGTGCATAAATAACCATGATGCAAATTGCAATGCTCTAACTCCCATAAGAAAGTTGCAATCTGTATACTAATTGGAACTTAGGCTGGATGATGATATGTCTATGTACAAGGAAGAAGATGGCAGTGGAAACATTAGGAGAAAAAAAATTGAAAGGATGTTAGATGCAGAGGAAAAGAATGGAAGAAAATCACACTTGAGTGAGAATATGAGGAAAGAAGGAAACCACAATAACGTATGAATGTACAGTATCATTTCAAATGAATTCAAATCCCTCCAATATCAAGAGGAACAGAGTTTGAGACTACTAGCCTTGTTGTTTGGGGTAAGGTGGTAGAGGGATTTGGAACAAGAAAAAGGAGATTATGTACAAGTTTGTTTTGTTAACTAATATGGAGATTCTCCTGTTTATTGGTTCTGAAGTATCTCCAACTACTTCTATTCTTCATTGCTACTTTTCATCCTCAATTAGCTTTTTATGCTTGTCATTCACCTAGAATCAATCAACAGCCTTCTGATTGTCCATTCTCCTTGAGTGAGCTCTTCCATTGTCATCACTCAGATGTTAAGGACTAATGTTAAGGACACATCTACAGCCTGAATTTTCTTCTTGAGATTCAGGCAGATTGATGCCTACCCAGTAGACCTCCCTATTTAGATATTCCATAATAAACTAAGACTCAGCTTGTCCAAATCTGAACTCAGCATCTGCCCCATTAAAATCCATTCGTCTTTACCTAGTTCAGCAAAATTGACTAAGCAAAATTCAGCTCTCAGCTGTCTTTTCCTTCTCTTGAACACTCAAATATCATCTCTATGAAGATACCGCTTCAAATCAAATCTCTTGTTTATGTCCCTATTTCTACCTTCCAGATCATTCCTCCATCTCTTATTTGATCTACTGTTCCAATCTCTTCCAAACATACCTCCAAATTTGTCCCACTATAGAGCCTAGAATCTAGACAATGCTCCATGTTGACTCCAGAAGAATTGTTCTAAAATGTAAATTTGACCATGTTTTGCATTTAATTAAAGATATTAATGGTTCCTTATTAGATTCATACTCCTTGGTATGGCATCAAGCCCTCTTTTAATTGGTCCCTGCCTACTCTTCCAATTTCATCCCTTTACTCCTATTTTTATGTCTTATATTTGCCCCTATTGCATTTCTTTGCTTGTTTGTTGGGTTGGGGGTGGGTCCTACTTTTTTCTTTTTCCTAGATAGGGTCTTACTATGTATGCCTGGCTGACCCTGAACTCATGATCCTCCTGCCTCAGCCTCCCAAAAACTGGGAATACAAGCATGGGTCACCAGCAGGCTCTTTTACTAAATTTTTTAAGTTTCCTGGATTGATTTGGTCTCTTACCACACTATATAAATATTGCTGCCTTTGTCAACATTTCTACACTAACTCATCCCCATCTCCATTTTACCTACCTAAACTTTAATTATTCTTCTAACCATTGAAAGCTTTGGAGCAATTAACTATTGCTCTTTCTGCAGAGGACATCCCTCCCCTCTTTTCAGGACAAGTGGCAAATGGAAAAGTACATAGTTATACTAAGAGCCAGGTGAAATGTCGTGGTGGGTCAAGCTTACAAAATGGGCCAGATGGAGTGTGGAAATAACTGATAAGCTCATGATATGTTCCCATTATGTGAAATTCAAGCTATGATCCAAGGAAGAGACAACTGATCAGTGAGGTCCACAGAAAAGGGAGACAGCCAATCAATAATAGCTTGAGGTATAAAACACACTCTAAACCCTATCTTGACACTCTATGCTCCTTTGCCTAGCTGTTTGCATACCTCCCGTTTAATGGCATCCTAAAAAAATCATTGCTTTCTCCTATCTTCCTGTCTCAGTAAATCCTGTTACCAACCCATGGCTCCAAAATCCAGGACACTTTTTACGCACTATGATATTCCACAGTCTCGGCTGAACAACTCTATCATCCCTCTCCATTGATTGCAGTAATCTGCTATTTCACTCCCAATGAGGCAGGCTAATGACAGATAAAGTAACCATCCATGGGAGTCCCTCTTCAGCCAGAGGTCACTCCATACTAAATTCCTCCTCCACCCTAAGTACCACCCTTGAACATCTACTCACTTGTAAATTTTCAACTGAAAAATCCTTTGCAGATGTAAATTTCCTAAAAGACAAGGGAGTCTCTTGTCCTGTTCAGAAGGAAAATGGCACATGCCCAGTAAAGGGAAACCCATCCTCAATTTGACCTCTCAGGTAAAACCTTCTACTTAAGACGTTATGAATATTGGTCACATCTCATATGTGTAATTAAAGACCTTGTTAATCAAACCTGTCAAAGCCCCTCCTGCAAAGACCACCCAGATTTTTCCTGTCCTTTGCCCTTATAACTTACAAATTGCCCTTTAAACAGACCAGCCAGGGCTGTACCATCTGGCCAGGGCCATCACTTTGTCTTTTCTGGGCCCATTCTTTTAATAAAGCTTTGCTACTGCTTTGCAATTTGTGTCTCTGTCCAGTTCTCTGTTTGGGACAGCCAAGGTCCTGAGATCTTCTGAACCAAAGTCTCCAATAACACCAAGACTAAGTAGCAGAAAGTACAAAAAACTTAGCCCAGTGCCTGACTCATTGTTTGTTTATTTAAATGAATTTTAATCGATTTGTGAAACTATCTCCCCCAAATTCCCCACAGTAGCTGGCCCTTATCAATTCTAGTGGACGTGAAGCTTCCACGAAATAAAAAGTAAGGCACAAATAAAGTTTAAGCATAATTCTGAATATACAGACCAAGCCCAATGAAGGAGAATAGAGGTTTGGGGAGAACCCTAGAAGTTCTCATAGGGGGAGTGGAATAAAGGGAAAAGGAAGTTAAAAGATTTGAATTTTTTGCCTTTTGCCTTGTTTTACTTTTAAGAAAGTGAAATTATTAAGGAATGCTTTATTATTCAGGCCACAGGAGTTGTCCTCACAGCTTTCACTTTGGAAGTAGAAGTCAGGCTACTAAGTAGCAGCACTTTAATTCATGCTGTGATTAGAATAGGCCCAGGGGGCTCCTTTCACCACAGATACCTCCTGCCCAATCTATCAAATTGCTTCAAATTCCACCAATAGAGAGTTGTCCTTTTCAAACTTGAAACTTGAAGTTTTTTTAAAACCTCCCATTAAAATGCACCCTTGGTGGTTGGTTAGCCCGAAAGCCATCAACTAATACCCTACAGGAGATTATTTTACAATTAGGTGAGAGTGTAGTCTTGAGATAGGATACAAAATACAGAAAGGACCTAAAGAAAAGATTGAGCATAAGTCAAATCACTTACACATTCTCTTTATTGAGGGATAGTATGAGAATTTGTTTAAAAGACTATCCTCTATTCTTTTATTACCTGTAGTTCGGTCCCCTTATTTTTACCCTTTTGTAATCTCACTAACTAACTTCTAGAAGGTCACTAATTTCTACAAGACTCCAAGGACGATAATTATAAAATACTTAAATACTTAAATATTTAAATTCCTTTCAACATAGGCTTAGGGATCTGAAAAAAAAAAAAAGATACAGGACCAGAAGCATGTATTTTATTGCCTGAATGGATCCAGCTATAGAAAGTACAGCCTTAATCACCTTACTCACATCTGAACATCTAAGACAGTAGGATTTTTAAACAAATGCTAAATATGCTCTGTTAGAAACTGGTTA